GAAAATGCTCATCACAGTACACACTCTCCACTTAAGAGAAGCACAGATTTGAAATTCAATTCAGAATAAAATCAGAAAGAATTAGAGTGAAAGGAAAGGAACTTCCCTACTTGTACTGTGATGCCCAAAAGTTAGGATCCGGGGTGGGCATTAATATGTTCAGCAGATCGATGTGGAGATGCATGCATGAGTTCATGGATGGAGAAGTCTGATTCTCAAGAAATTCAGACCCCTCTACATCCTCAAAACTGCCATCTTCCTCGCTCCCAAACAGTGAATCTTCATCAGAGTCAAGGACGATAACCGCGTTCATATCTCTGACCGGGGCAACATCGGCATCATCGTCATCGCTGAGGATGACGATGACCTCGTCCTCCTTCTTCGCGTCAGAGGTGGAAGATAGGTGAATCACCTCGTCCTCAACTCCAATGTCCTTAAATTCCGTCTCAGGGATGATGGAATCGTAAAGAAAGTAATCAGATTCCATGATTTCAGGCGGAGATGTATAGATCTGGGAGAGGAACGATTGTAATCTAGGGATTGGGAGAGAAGAAGAACCGACAGAGAGAGAGAGAGTCGATTAGATCTAAAGAGGGGCGAGAGAGTTTAATTGGGGAGGTGGGCGGTTGGGTAGATAGGAGGAGTGAATGTGAGGATATTAAATGAGAGGGGTATTTTAGGGAGAATATAGGAAAAAGCGTACAATGGGAACATCATTCCCGGACGGAGAAAAACGTACAATGGGACTATCATTCCCGGACGGAGGGAGTAGTTACTACTACTATTATGATTTTTATTATACGTAGTTCCAATCCTTAGTTTATATTGTTTTTGTTGAGGTTGTGAAAACATCGTTCGAAATTTAATTTTACATTTTTTTTTTAGAATTTTTTTTAAAATCAAATTTATATTTTTTAATTTTCTTTTTTATGAAAAAACATTTGTCTATCAAAAAATATAAAACCATTTGAGTATCGTTAATTTTTTAAATTAGTTTTAAATACACAATAAGGAAATTCCAAGGAATATAATAAGAAAAGTTCTAGTCAATGTATGATTGCGGACATGTTTTAAAAAATTGTCTACTAAACATGTCACATGTAATTTTGGAAGCCGACTCTTAAATTTTATATATAAAGATTTAATATTTGTAGTATCACTTTTAAGCACGTAAATATTAAACATTATTTTATACATTTTCTTCATTAATAACTTTTATTATACTCCAAATTCTATGTATTTCTCTATAAACAAAATGTGTACCATTTAATAATATACAACTTAAATTTTAAAATACACAATACTAATTTTAAAATGGAGCATAATTTTTTTAGACCTAATTTTTTTATTGTGTATGAAATGTTATTAATACTCTCTTAAATAAACATGCCAATAACATTAGTTTTTAAATGTTAGTTATTATTATTATTATTATTATTATTATTATTATTATTATTATTATTATTTTGTATAGTTCCGGTCCCAATTTTTTACTTTTTATTTATATCGTGAATCCACATTTCAAAACCCAAACATATATTTTTATTTTTTATTCATTTTCTTTTTTAAGAAATTTCCGAAGAAGATGAAAGTAGTGTATATATGCATATTCCATGGATTAGTTCTTTATTTTGCATTTTCTTTTTATGGATGGATTTATTCTCTGCCACCTAAGGTTGCCATCACACAATTAGTTCTTTAAGAAGGCGACACATCAACTCCACCACATGTCGCACTATAACTCCGCCAAATGTCACATTATAGCTCTGCCAAATGTCACCTTCTTGCAATTCGGAGTCTACTTTTTATATATAAAGGATTGTTAACATTGTGAGTCTGTCATTAAAACATTGAGTAGTACAAATTAATGATCCATTTGCATTTTGAGTTCACATGTTTATTATGTGAACTCAAAATACTCATTATTTATTTATTTACCCATTGTTTGGTTCTTCATACGTACTCAGTAAAGATAAATAAACTTTAGGTTTCTGATCCGAAGTCGGAACAATTTGCATTTTGAAGTCCATGAATTTATAAATGTAAAAGTTGTACCATATAAGAGAAGACTAAGAAATTGATCGAATCAGAGCATAACAAAGTGAAAGATCCTTTATAATAGTTGTCGTAGCAGATTGTATGAGTGATGTAGTTGACATTTTGAATATTTTATGAATAAGACATTATACTCCAACCTCCCTCCCGGAAAATTTTTCCGATTTTGACTTTTGGGAGAGGAAGATATAGTAGTTTGACTAAGACGAAACGACGACAATTGAAACAAGTTGGACTCGAGAAATCTCAAAATGGGTAGAGCGTAAAAGGAAGTTGAGGTACGTCTGATTAGATTTGATTAGATTTAAGAAAAATAAGAGCAATTGTGTATGTCCATTTAAATAAAATTTAAATATTTTATGGAACCAATAAAAGCCGATGAGTATTTTGATCATTCAACTTGGTCATTTTGTTGTGGGATACCAACACAAGTAGTTTAAACACAAGTAGTTTAGAGAGAGACACCCCCAACTCATCATAATATTGAAGCAATGAAGAGTTGAGAACTTGAGCACAGAGACCATTTTCGGACAAGATTCCTTGGTTCTTTTTGCTCGGAGAGATGTTCAGAACTATATATAACGTCGACTCTGATTGAGAGGGCCCCTTCCTTTGCGAAGAAACCCCGTATTTGGAGGTGTAGGGGAACGTACTCGTGAGGGAAATGATCTTTATATGGACATGAAACAATCTGGAGTTGATTGAATCCATTGTTTGGGCTCATAATAAATTAAAAGTTGCTCCTGCACTTTTCTGATAGGCTGTCTTGTATTTCTAATAAGTTGTTTAATAGTTGGCATCGTAGTATATTATAGCATTTATTGAATAGAAGGACTTGTTTCATATCACTTTCCAGATCAGAATTGCTCGAATTAATAAAAAAATTTACGCAAGAACCCAATTTTGGTTTAATAGTACATCCCAACAGAGGACGGCCATATTTATTCAATTTATCTCGAAACGATGGAGGATAATGATAATATCCAAAATAACTCAAGTGATAAAACCATAAATTGCATGGTTCCCCTCTCCGAATCATTCTCTTCATAGGAAACTCTCAAAAAGCCCCAAGGGCACCAGAGTCTAGGAGCCCAAACTATGTTCTCTGTTCTCTGTACATAGGTAACATAGTGAAACTCATTCGGGATGGATTTAGGAGTCTTTGTGCGAGCCGTATGCGGTGAGAGTCGCACGTACGGTAACGAGGTTTTTTGAGTGAAGATACACTCAAAATCCAAAAGCTTCTAAGAATTCAAACCACCATTAACTTTTCATATTTTAATTCCACCACAAAATCAATCGAAATGTCTTCCCAAATTTGCTGAGGTATGGGTAAAGGTTGTAACAACCCGGCAGGCGAAAGCGTGTCATATTTGCTTTTTTGGCAAACAAAACATTGTTGAATGAAAGTTTTAACATCAGCTTTCATTTGGGGCCAAAAAACCGTATCGGATAGTTTCTTTAAAGTCTTTAAGAACCCCCCATGCCCCCCCTGATGGTGTCATGTGTGCTTCCTCTAATAGCTTCGCACGGATGGTCGAGCTTCTTAGAATGACTAACCTGCCGTTGTAGTAAAGTTTCTGCTGGATTAAGGAGTACTCTGGTTTAGATTTGGCGTCACGCTTCAAAGCCTCAATGATGGGTGCCGTGAATGGATCTTGCTGCAATGCCTCCTCAAGATTCAGATAGTCAAGAGGTACTGGTATTACCATGTGTAAGAAATCTGCATGTTGAGGCCTCCGGGACAAAGCATTTGTGCCTACATTCTCTTTTCCAGCTTTGTAAATAATGCTGAAATCAAATGGGAGAAGTTTCAGAATAAGGCGCTGTTGACTATTAGTGAGAGTTTTCTGCTCCATGAGGCACTTGAGGCTGTGATGATCAGTTCTAACTGTGAAGTGGCATCCAAGCACATAATGACGCCAATGTTGTATGGCTAAGACCACAGCTAACTCCCGGTCGTATGTAGATCTGTACCTGTTTGAAAAAGAGAAACCCTTGCTATAGAAAGCAATGGGATGACCTTTTTGCAAAAGAATAGCGCCTATTCCTTCCATAGAAGCATCACATTCAATCACAAATTCAACAGAAAAATCAGGAAGTTGAAGCACTGGTGCATTAATCAAAGGCCATTTGAGTTTGTCAAAAGCTTTTTGAGCAGAATCAGACCAACAGAAAGCATTTTTCTTGGTTAGATCAGTCAAGGGTCGAGCAATCATACCATAACTTTGTACGAACCGTCGGTAGTATCCAGTAAGTCCTAGAAATCCCCGTAATTCAGTTGCATACTTGCATTGCTAGGCACTGGCCAATCTCTTACTGCGGCAATCTTCTCACATTGTGTCTCCACGCCATGAGAAGAGATTTTATGTCCCAAAAAGGAGACTCGAGTCCATCCTAGTTCACACTTCTTCGCATTTACATGATATGAGTGTTGCTGACTTGCTGCAATGTTGATAAAATAGTGCGAAGGTGCTCCCTGTGTTGATCTACATCCTTGCTATATATTAAGATATCGTCAAAAAAAACCAACACGAACTTTCTAAAGTGGGGTCTAAAAAGATCGTTCATTGCTGCCTGGAAAGTAGCCATTAGTGAGGTCGAATGGCATGACGACATATTCATAGTGTCCATTATGAGTTCTAAAAGCCGTTTTGGGAATATCGGCCTCTAAAACTCTAATTTGGTGATAGCCAGAGCGAAGGTCAATTTTTGAAAAACAAGCAGCACCATTCAACTCATCCAATAGTTCATCAATATTGGGAATAGGATACTTATCTGGGATGGTGAGTTTGTTGAGTGCCCTGTAATCAACACACATACGCCATGTTTCATCCTTTTTCTTTACTAAGAGCACCGGACTGGCAAACGGACTTGAACTGTGACGGATGAAACCCTTCTGAAGCAACTCATTAACCTGTCTTTCAATCTCATTTTTCTGAAAATATGGACACCTGTAAGGTCTCAAATTAGGTGGAATTGATCCAGGAAGAAGAGGAATCGCATGGTAGTGCTCCCGGAATGGTGGTAGTGTTGTAGGCTCACGAAAGACAGCTGCAAATTCCATATAGAATTCCTCCAAATCCATGACTTCGCTGTTGGTTGGAAACTCATTAGTGCCAACAGCCATCATGGAGTGCAGAGCCGCTTCGAATTTAGTGGATTTGGGAATTCCCTGCAATTTATACCTTTTCCCATCTACCCGGAAAATCAGAAACATTTCATTCCAGTTGGCTTGAATAGTGTTCAGAGAAGCCAACCACTTGATGCCTAGCACGAGATCAGATCCAGATAGAGAAAATGGATAAAAATCCCGAGTAATACTCAAACCTGGAAGCTGCAACTTTACG